CATGAGATAAAGCATGAGATAAAGCATGAGATAAAGCATGAGATAAACACTGTCAGGACAAAATACTGAACTACTAATGTTACTTCTTTGTAGCTACTGCCCTTCTGCCTCCCCTGTCCAGTACCAGCCAGCTCAGCTCCACAACTTGTTTAAATGCTGGTGCTGCCAGTTAAGTTATAACCCTGCAGAGCAAATATGCAGGATGCAAAGATTTCCTCCACTTTTAGGTGAGAAACAGGAATCCCTTGGAAGAGGCAAAATGCAACAAATGCAGCTTGGAAACACCCCTTACCTTGTGGATACAGTTATTTGTAGATAACATATCCAGCTTCTATCAATGCCTTTCTTACAGAAGGATCCCAAATCACTTTTTAAACTGCGTCACCTCGTCAAGAGCATAGCTGAGCTCATCTTTTCAATACAAACCTCCATTTGCAACGACTAATGCTCAAGTGTTAAGAAGAAATTTTTAAAGGGAACTGCACTTACTACACCATTTTCTAATTAGCAACATTCTTTTACTTAAAAATAATATTAGAAGTGCTGAAGAGTAGGCTCTTTCCTTGACAAGACAGCTTTTTCTTTTGTAATTCATTTTGATGCACAAAGACTACTTGTGCATGCTTCACAACTTAGAAAGCTACAGTACTGGAGGCACTTTATTTATAGGACCATAGAATGGCCTGGGTTGAAAAGGACCACAATGCTCATCCAGTTTCAACCCCCTGCTGTGTGCAGGGTCACCAACCAGCAGACCAGGCTGCCCAGAGCCACATCCAGCCTGGCCTTGAATGCCTCCAGGGATGGGGCATCCACAGCCTCCTTGGGCAACCTGTTCCAGTGCATCACCACCCTGTGAGTGAAAAACTTCCTCCTAATATCTAACCTAAACCTCCCCTGCCTCAGTTTAAAACCATTCCCTCTTGTCCTATCACAGTCCACCCTCATAAACAGCCATTCTCCCTTTTGTTTATACGCTCCCTTCAAGTACTGGAAGGCCTGCGAGGTCTCCCTGGAACCTTCTCTTCACCAAAGGTTCCCTCAATCTTTCTTCACAGGAGAGCTGCTCCAACGTGCCTGAATTTCCAACACTGCCCTCCAGTTGTGGCTTTTAACTCCCCTCACACTTTTAAATCTATTCTTTCCCAGTTAAAAGCAACCTTCATAAGCACGAGGACTCCTTATAATGCACACACAGCATTTTACTACCCAGGCCACCCTACCATCACTGGCACCATGCATTATGCTTACACCTCCACCCGTACTGTTATTAACCTTTAACAAAGCACCGTGTGCCTTCTCTTCTCTATTCTGCTCTGTTTGCTTCAATAATCTCTGCTCATCATCTCAACAGTGGCAATTCAGGATTTAAAACACCAGTTCTCCCCTCTCCAAAGGGATTCTCTCGCTGGTTCACTTTTCAGTGTATTTCACCACGAGGAAGGCTGTCGATCCATGGCCATAGGTTTTCAAGTCTCGTTCTTCTCTCCAGTAATTTCACAGTAGCTACAAATATCCCCCTCCTTTTATGCCACTGATCCAGTCAGTCCAAAAGTCTTTGCCATCAAATTCCCAAAACTTGCCTTACCACTTCTTTCTCATTCAGCCCTCTTGCACCTCTTCAGTACAGCTTTGCTATAGCTTTGCTCCGTGCAGGACAGGCAAACAGACTCACAAGAGGTGTTTCTGAGTCCTTTTCCCAAATCTCTACAGCACCAGCTCAGAAAACCATCAAACCCAACCATACATTTGACAAACAGCACCACAACCTGGACCATCCTACACCAGAAAAGACTGTTAAATACCGGTAGACTCCATTTACTTCATCTGTTTCTGTGGCTGCATCATCACACAAGGCACAGAAGTAGTGGTAGCTCCTGCGGCAGGCTCTCTCCTCACATCCCACTGTGGCTCCTTTCTTGCGACAGAAATTGCACACCTACAACAAAATGAAACCTAACTTAGGAAACCAACATCATCCTCTTTGGGAAAGTCCAATCTTTCACTGTGATACTTAGAACTCTGTGTAATGCAGCCAGCTTACAATGCCAAACTCTCACCCTGCTCAATGTTTCACTCCTCTCTCTGCTATTTTGCCTCAGCTGCATCATTTCACCCTTTAAGCAGTACAAAAAGAGCTACATGAGATATGGACAGCTTCCCTCCCCACCTCGTTCCAAATCTTGCCCAACCTCTTTCTGTGCTTATTGGTTGCATTTATGTTTTTTACACTAACTTCATAAAGAAATGAGTTCCATCCAAGAAGAGAGAAGAAGAGCTGAAAACAAAACAAGTAAGAAGATCTCATGTTAATCACCCTCCTGCTAAAAAGAAAAGGTGTTTCCCTTTATCCTTATGGGGTTGCATAATTTTGTTGCAGGCACTGGGTTGGTATTTCAAGGGCTCTCGAGGAAGTCTCTTAGATTTTCCTCTCAGGAAAAAAAGACCAGAAAACCCAATAAATACCAATTACTAAGAAAAATAACAATGGAATTTCAATAAGTACGATATCAAATTGATGTTTTTAATTCTAAATCTGTAATTTCTCCAATCTTAGTAGGTCAGGAGGACCAAGGCCTTCTTTAATTTCTTCTCCCCAGTCATAGCTGACCAGACAACCTCAGTGTGCACCCTACTACCCTGCAGTGCTTTCAGACAGGACTGAGTGCAGATTCAGAAACTGCCTTACCAGTCGCTTTCCTCTCTTGAATTCATTCAACACGGATTCCACATCAAACCTTAAATCCAGATTTTCTGGGTTATACTCTTCAGATTCCACAAATCCAGAGGAAAATAACTAGAAACAAAGAAACAATGGCAAGAATTAACAGAGTCAGTTAGTCATCAATATATAGAATGTCCCTCTCTTTTATCATTGATTTCATACATCTGATCCTCTTGCACATACACAATCTGACATAACTTAAAGATGAACCAAGAACAGGCTGAGAGGTGAGAAAGTGAACTCCATAAGAAGCGTGAATGAAGTCCAATGCCCAGAGTAAGGAGGAGAAACTGTTTGGCTGACAGACTTCCACACCTTGACCATCTTATCTGACCAGTTGTTCAAGCCAAAAAGCAGCCAAGCAGCACACTCTTCCAAAGGCAGACACATTTATAAAGTCATCAGAATCACAGAATGGCCTGGGTTGAAAAGGACCACAATGCTCATCCAGTTTCAACCCCCTGCTATGTGCAGGGTCACCAACCAGCAGACCAGGCTGCCCAGAGCCACATCCAGCCTGGCCTTGAATGCCTGCAGGGATGGGGCATCCACAGCCTCCTTGGGCAACCTGTTCCAGTGCGTCACCACCCTCTGAGTGAAAAACTTCCTCCTGATATCTAACCTAAACCTCCCGTCTCAGTTTAAAACCATTCCCCCTTGTCCTATCACTGTCCACCCTCATATACAGCCATTCCCCTCCTGTTTACATGCTACCTGCAAGTACTATGAGGCCACAATGAGGCCTCCCTGGAGCCTTCTATTCTCCAAGCTAAACAAGCCCAGTTCCCTCAATCTTTCCTCACAGGAGAGGTGCTCCATCCCTCTGATCATCTCAGTGCCCTCCTCTGGACCTGCTCCAAGAGCTCCACATCCTTCCTGGACCTTCCTTCTGCAGTGCTGCAGATGGGGCCTCGCAAGAGCCGAGTAGAGGGGGACAAGCACCTCCTTCTCCCTGCTGGTCACCCCAGCATTTGTTAATGCAGCCCAGAACACAGTTGGCCTTCTGGGCTGCAGGTGCACACTGCTGCTTAGAGGTAAAGAAAAAAAAATAAAAATCATTCACACAACATTTACAGCCCTAAAATCGATTTCAAACCAAGCATCCAACACTTCATTATGTTTTTGAAACGTTGTGGAAAAATTAGTAGAAAAGTAAGGCAGGAGTAGTGAAAGCCAGAAAGCAGTTCCAGGAGCAGACACACTTCCTGCAGTAAGGAGCTCTCACTTATGGGAGAATATGACATCTGCAACTGATTCTGCACACCAAGAACCAGCTGCATCAAGACACCAGCATGAAAGAGAGGCATTTTGACAGCCAAGAAAGCAACAATGTTCCCAGATCACTCAGAGCTTAACAGATATTTTTACATGGTTCACTCAATTCAGTGTCTCAAGAAGACTGAATTTCTACTGACAGACTGCATGTATCCATAACTGACCAGGACATGCACGCACTCGCTGACCAGGAACAGAGATGTGAAAACACCAAAGAGCAATGTGCCAAACTGCTGCAATCATGTTCTCCTCCTCCCCAAAATTCTTACAGATGTGTTTTACCACAGATCTAGCTATTTTCCATTGCCCCTTCTTGACTGACTAGTGATGCACCCATCTTTACTGCTATTTTTGAAGCACACCTTTGTGCAGGATATCATAAACTTGGAGAATATTTCCTATTTCAACTGAAAGAAAGGACAGAGTTCATTGTAAAGTCAAAAAGAATTATAATAAGAATGGACAAGTGGTAGAAGTTTCCCCTTTAGTGCTTCACCACTCTCCTTAGGCACTGCCCAGCTGAAAACCACTCACCAAACAACTCTGATGAGCTGCAATATTTTGCTCTTTGGCAACGTACATTATAGAAGCAGCCTCCCCTTCCGAACAGAAGGCACACGTCCTTCTCACCATTTTGGCCATCGTCTGGAGAGCACCTGGAACAGGAAGACTGGGACAAAACAAGCCACTTACTTACTTCACAGAACAGTCTTCCCCCCCTCCAAGTTATTTACAGCACCACTCCACGCAGTGCAGTCTTACTTTGTGGTTTTCCCTTCAAGTCCACAGCAGAAATCTTCAGTTTCCCACTCCCATGAGGTGAGATGCACCAAATGTCTGAGACGTCGCCGCCGACAGCCCTGAGCTCTGTAGAGTAAGGGTGAGAACAGCCTGGTGTTATTTTTAAGAAAAAGGATTTGAAGTATTGCAGCGACAAAAGTACAAGATAAGGAAATCTCACAGCCCAGCAAATCGGGCACATATTTCTCTCTTTCAGCAGTCAATTCCTGCCCCAATTAGTTCCATATCCCGTCTATTTTATGAAAGGGGAGGTCTCCAATGAGAACACCAGAGCATAAGGGGATTTCTTTTTTCACCTCTGGCTCTGCCACTTTACTTAATGACAGGCAAGTCACTCAGCCTCCATGCATACCTGATTTCTTTTTCCCCCCAGCACCTTTCTGTACCTTGTAAGCAAGGTAGGATGGGGACAGACTTGCACTATCTATACAGTAATCATCACAACAGCCTTAAAACTTAGGCATTAGATAAACAGACAACAGAAACAAATGGAAATCCATGGAAAAATTAGAAGCAGAACAGAAACAACGACGAAAGGAAACTAAAAAGCATGTTTATGGTGTTTGAATGGTTGGGAAGAGTTCTCACAGCAAGTTAACACCTGAAATCGCTGCAGATGCATAGGCCCTGGTCCTCCCAGTTGGATGAGGCGTCTCTGGGTGCCCTGGGAATTTGGCAAGATGCTGAAGATGGAGGCTGCAGTCCCAGCTGTCCTTACAGGCTCTGAGGAGGAATCCTGGTGCTGAAAGATAACCAAAGATATTTGGTAAGGTCAGCCTTTGTATTTCCAATGCCTTCGCAGGCACTCTGAAGCAATGGAAGGCCAGCTCTCAGCCAATCCTCAGTGCAAAAGCAGCGAGCCTGCATCCAGTGCCCCACTTAGCTCACCATCCCACCACCAACAGCAGCTTTGCTTTGGCCCTATGCTCTTCCTTAGGTCTCTGCTACAGACTGCTGTCAGGAATAGGACACAGAGCTAAATGGAACAGCAGACCCAGCTAACTGCTCTTAAGCAAGAAGGGAAAGGCTAAGGGCATAATTCAGCTCCAGTTTAATTATATTTTGCCTGAACAACCACTGGTTTCACTACACCTCAAGTGTTCTGTGTGAGGGAGCAAGAAACCATCATTTCTGCAGTAAGGCCCACAACACCACAGATCTCTCATTCTTTCTCCTGCTGCCCCCTTTTCAAGTTGAAGAATCCTTGCACAGAAGCTGTTCTGCATCTTTGATCATCTCTGTCACTTCCACCTCCCTCCTCTACTACAATCACAGAACTGCTGAGGTTGGAAAAGACCTCAAAGATCATCAAGTCCAAACCACAAGTCCAACCACAACCTGACCATCCTACCCTAACTCTAACAACCCTCTGCTAAATCATGTCCCTGAGCACCACATCCAAACAGATTTTAAACACATCCAGGGATGGAGACACAACCACCTCCCTGGGCAGCCTGTTCCAGTGCTTAACAGCCCTTTCTGTAAAGAAGTGTTTCCTGATATCCAACCTAAACTTACCCTGATGCAACTTGAGGCCACTTCCCATTGTCCTGTCACCTGTCAGCAGTGAAAACAGACCAGCCCCACTCTCACTGTAAGCACCCTTCAGATATTGGAAGAGAGCAAGAAGGTTTTCCCCTCAGCCTCATCTTCCCCAGACTAAACAGCCCCAGTTCCTTCAGTCTCTCTTCCCCAAGCCTATAGGAAGAAAATAACCTTCAAAACAGTGAGGTAAAAAGGCACAGTAGCACTCTGTTCTTTCTTTTTATCTTCCCCTTAGGAATTCATAACATCCCAAACACATTTTGGATTGCTTACAAGCACACTGATAGAACCAACTGTTGCAGTCCCTTGGTTCCTTCCCTAAGATGCAGCAGGCAGCATGAGAGGCATCAGTGTTAGGACTGCTGTTCTGACCACGCACCACTTTCCAATGCTTGATTTTCTCACTCTTGATTTCATAGCAAAACAACTTGCTGTCGCAAACTTCTTTTGTGGCTTTTCAGAGGTGACTTTCACCTTTGCTACCTCAGAACCTAAGGTGAATGTCATCTCCAGGAGATGAAGGCTCTTTCTCTACTAATGGGAGAGATGATAAAGCTGTGAAACAGAAGATAGAGGGAAAGCAGCCAAGGGAATGAATCAGCTGTGTGCCCCTGCTACTGCTCTGCTTAGTCCTTGTGCTGTTTTGCATCAACACGCCTATCAGTGGTTGCAACGGCAGCAAAATGGAAGAAAGCAGTAAACGAAAGTAAAAGAGGATGAAAGCATTTCTCAGTGCACAGTGATTGTGCAATTCCACAGTATATTTCCTTGAAATATTGACTCATAGGTCCAACTATCTCCTTTCTAGAAGCAGCTCTGGGAGCACCTGTGCAGGGAGATAAAGCACATTTTTGCTGGGCAGAACAAGAGGCACTAAAAGCCCCCAGCACACACATGGCAGGGTAAGGAGAATCCAAGAAGCTCCTGATCCCAGCATCCTCACTGCTCACATCAGGCACGTGGAATTGTGCTGCCAATGCAAGGAACAGAAAGAAGTCACCACATATCTGTTCTTTGTGGGAAATCACAGAATGGCCAGGGTTGGAAGGGACCTCAAGGATCACGAATCTCCAACCCCCTGCCACATGCAGGGCCACCAACCTCCACATTTAATACCAGACCAGGCTGCCCAGGGCCCCATCCAACCTGGCCTTGAACACCTCCAGGGACGGGGCATCCACAACCTCTCTGGGCAGCCTGTGCCAGCACCTCACCACTCTCTCTGTAAAGAACTTCCCCCTGACATCCAACCTCAATCTTCCCTCCCTCAACTTAAAACCATTTCCCCTTGTCCTGCTGCTATCAACCCTTGTCAAGCGTTGATTCCCCTCCTGTCCGCAGGCTCCCTTTAGGTACTGGAAAGCTGCAGCGAGGTCACCCCGCAGCTTCCTTTCCTCCAGCTGAACAAGCGCAGCTCCCTCAATGAGAGCAGCAGCACAGCACAGCGCTGCGCTCCTCTCAGCCCTGCGCCGCGCCATCAGCAGCACAAACACAGCTGCCCATCGCAAGACTTCCACAACAAACCCACCCTCTGCTTGCCACACAGGAAACGTTTCCACTATTTTTTGAAGCAGATGGACGGCCTGGCGGATCCGCCCCTTCTCACAGCCGTTCCACGTTACGGGATAACCGCAGGGCTCCTCAGCGGCTCCCGACTCTCCTCCGCTCCCGAGGCGCTCGGCCTCGCAGCGCCGGAAGCCCTCAGCCACTCCCTAACACCCTCGGTCCACGCGCTGCCGCGCCTACGGTGGGGCGGGACCGGCGGAAAGGCGCGGACCGACCAGCAGCGCCGCTACTTACCGCGGGCCGCCCGCTCCCGTCCACCGCCACCCCCGGGCCCGGCCTGCACGGCGCCGCACTTCCACGCGGGGGAGGAGCGCGCAGAAGCGGGCGGGGCCCGGCGCACAGCGAAGCATGCCCAGTAACAGCCCGGGGCGACGGGCTGGGGCTTCGAGCGGCCGATTGGCTGCTGTACGGAAGCGGGCGGGGATTGGAGGCGGGAGGGTCGCGTGGTAAAGGAGAGGCTCTCGGCCCATCCCCGCGCCTTTAGGTGCGGTAGAGCTGGGGTCGGGGGTTCGAATCTCGCTTGGGGCTCGAACCCGAACCGCCGGCTGCAGAATCACAGAGAATCACAGAATGGCTTAGGTTGGAAGAGACCTCAAGGATCATGAAGCTCCAACCCCCTGCCACACGCAGGGCCACCAGCCTCCACATTTAGCACCAGACCAGGCTGCCCAGGGCCCCATCCAACCTGGCCTTGAACACCTCCAGGGACGGGGCATCCACAACCTCTCTGGGCAGCCTGTGCCAGCACCTCACCACTCCCACAGTACAGAACTTCCCCCGATATCCAACCTAAATCTTCCCTCCCTCAACTTAAAACCATTTCCCCTTGTCCTGCTGTTATCCACCCTTTCAAAGAGTTGATTTAGGACCACACGCTGTACAAACATTACACTGAGCCGTGCACAGTGGGTGCTAACACCCTTTCCCTGTAGACCACAGGGCCACACAACTGCCAGCCCTTCACCAGGACAGCCTCACTCCCCACAGGCAGTGCCAGCACTGTACTGAGCTGGGCACAACCTCAGGAACCTCCTGCTGGTTCTGTCAGCACTCCTTCATATCCATGACAGGCAGTCAAGGATCCCTACACATCTGCTCATGGGCTCTGCAGGCTCAGCCACTTCCACCTCTGCTTTCTTCAGTACTTAAGCTTTTACGCAGTAACTCTGCTGAAGTGCTGGTGATGCTGACAGCCATGGTCACAAACACCCATCCCTGGAGGCATTCAAGGCCAGGCTGGATGTGGCTCTGGGCAGCCTGGTCTGCCGGTTGGTGACCCTGCACACAGCAGGGGGTTGAAACTGGATGATCATTGTGGTCCTTTTCAACCCAGGCCGTTCTGTGAATCCATGAAACACAGAAATGGAGCAGCGTGAGAACAAGCAACTAACCCAAGAGCCCCATGCCATGCTGCTACCTGGTGTAACATTCACACTGATGGCAGGCTCCTAAATAGACACAGACCATGTATTTTCTGCAGCAAGGAACAGCTTTTGCACACCAGTCCCGCACTATAATTCCTACCACTGAGCCAGGAAAGAAAATTAAGAATGGTGAAACAGACTTCTTTTTTTTCACCTTGATTTTTAATGACATTTCCATCTGTTTTTCCACATTCAAGGTGAGCTTGGAGACATAAAGGTGTTTTCTACGTCCTCACTTGTTTAAAAGGCTTCTAGCAGTGCTGACTTACCAGCAGGCTGTAAATCTTTAATACAGCAGCACAAATCCAAATTTGAAGTTCGAAGTATCCAAAATAAACCCAAAAAACAACAGCTTAGGGGCACAGGCTCTACGTTTGTCCACATTTACACAGAACTTCATCAAATCCAACTTGAGGAAGACAAATCCTAAGCTGTATGGACACAAGCCAGTCCTCTCGCCTCTGGGCCTTAGGGCCAAGAGCTGGCTCCTGCTTCTCTTGCAGTTTGTAGCGTAGATGTAGGCCTGAAATCCCTGCTGAAAGCATGGCTGCCTATTTTTTGTTACTCACAGGACTGTGTTCAGCCAGTGTATCAAAATACATACAATTATTTGCCATGACTTGAGCTTGCCATAATTTATGTCTCATTTTCAATGCTCTTATGGTTTGAAACATAGTACATGTAAGCTGATTTACACCTTGAAAACACATTTAACTCATTTAAATGAGCAGTCAAATCCATAGGAAAAACACATTGCAAATTATTTTATACTTTGTGTGAGCTTTCCGTGACAGTGAAAATTAAAACATTTGTCAGCACTGCACGAGTATTCCAGATATTTCTTCTGCAGTGAACAAGTTCATGTAATAAGTTGTTTTACAAAGGAAGCCCAAGCTTAATTATTAAAGAAGAAAACGTGTGTATCTGCTTAGTAATAAAAAACACATCCCTTCACAGGCACACACACCAGTAGGCAGGCTGAAATATTATCATCAGCAATCACTGCATTTTATTTGCCAAGTGGCACAAGTTCACAGAGGCTGAGGGAGCTGGGCTTGTTTACTCTGAAGAGAAGGGGTGACTTCATTGCAGCCTTCCAGTACCTGAAGGGAGCCTACAAACAGGAGGGGAATCAACTCTTGACAAGGGTAGACAACAGCAGGACAAGGGGAAATGGTTTTAAGTTGAGGGAGGGAAGATTGAGGTTGGATGTCAAGGGGAAGTTCTTTACAAAGAGAGTGGTGAGGTGCTGGCACAGGCTGCCCAGAGAGGCTGTGGATGCCCCATCCCTGGAGGTGTTCGAGGCCAGGTTGGATGGGGCCCTGGGCAGCCTGGTCTGGTATTAAATGTGGAGGTTGGTGGCCCTGCGTGTGGCAGGGGGGGTTGGAGCTTCATGGTCCTTGAGGTCCCTTCCAACCCTGGCCATTCTGTGATTCATGTACCATATATCACACATGTTTCAAACCAACAGAGCTCGTGCAGCAGGTGAGAGAAGCAGAGTCAATACTGCACTTGTCACTTACGCAGCCCATACTTGACCTACATGAAATCAACTCATGGAAAACAGTGCTAAAAATTATGTAATAACAAAAAAAATCTCCCATCTTCTGGGGTCACGTTACTAACCCTCTAGGGCTGCTTCTTGTACACATCAGTGAGACCACACTTCAAGCACAGCGTTCAGTTTTAGGCCTCTCTCCGAAAGAATGGAGAGCTGTTCAAGTGTGTGCAGAGGAAAGCAATGAAGCCTTGAGGAATGGCTGAAGTAATTGCAGTTGTGCAACCTGGAGAAGAGGGCACAGAGGCTCACTGCTCCCTACGGCTATTTGAAAGCAGATTGCAGAGAGGAGTGCTGGCCTCTTTTCTCAGATGACAAGTGATGGGACATCAGGAAATGGCTTCAAGTTGTGCCAAGGGAGGTTTGTATTGGACATCTGGAAGAATTTCTTCATGGAGGGGGCAGTTAAGCCACGGAATGCGCTGCCCAGAGAGGTGGTGGAGTCTCCATCCCTGCAGTTGTCGTGGACATGGCATTTAGGGACATGGTTTAGAGACAGGACACAGTAGGTTAGGCTGACAGAACTGATGATCTTGAAGATCTTTTCCAAGTCAAATGATTCTATGATCTACCAATTTTACAGCCTCCTCCTGAATCTGCACACAGTGTCATCAAACAATTGTTTCTTTCCTACCAACAAACCACACAGCAAGGATTTCTGTGTCTCACCTCTGACACACTATAGACACAGCACTGAAATGAGGCACAGCAGATCTTGAAGGATTTCACAAAATCAAAGAATCATTTGAATGGGAAGGGACACCCACAGGCCATCTGGTCCAATTCTCCTGCAATGAGCAGGGACACCTACAGCTCCATCAGGTGCTCAGAGCCCCATCCAGCCCGACCTTGAATTGTCTCCAGGGATGGGGCATCCACCACTTCTCTGGGCAATTTCTGTCACAAGCATGAAAGAAGATGTAATTACTTCTCTCACTTGCAGCAGGACTTTCCCAGCTCACCCTGTAGCACGATCACTACTTCGCAGAAGTTCTGATTAATCTCATTACTACTCAAGACAAACTGTCCCACCAGATCCATTGGATTTAGGTATATTTAAATAATTCTCAGCACTCAGACAGACTTGCATTCATACGAGTTTTGGGAAACTGAGTTATGCTAATTCATCATTGTAGGAGAGCACAGAAAACATCAATCAACCATTGCTGTGCACATCCATCATATTTCTGTTGCAAACTGCAGAAAAGCATGAATTCTTCCAGCTTGTAACTGAAAGGTGAGCAGGGAAGGGATGTGAGGGAGGAGGTGGGGAGAAAGCTTAGGAGCACAGAAAATATCATGTAGGACAAGTTTGATGCCTGTCTTTGTGACAACCAGCTTTATCCATGTAAACTATAAAAATGACATTCAAATGTAAATTTTAAAAAGTTATCAGATAAAAGGCATTTTTGTTCAGTGTAATTAGCACCACAGATTTAACTGTACTGCTCAGTATCCAGTCCCTTACAGCACATAAATCTCTATGTACACGAGGTGCTGACAGTAGAAAAGCTTGCTCTATAAGGTTTTCTTCCTGCATTTCTGAACTCCACACCAACAGGAAATCTCTGTCTCTGGCATACTTCCAACTTCGTATCCATAATCCCACGTGAGTTCAGTTCCAGCTTTCACATGCCTAAGAAATAAAACATCTGGTCAATATTTAAGTGAAACAGTAATGTGCTTACAATTTGTCACCAGCAACTCACAAGCAAAATCCAAACGCATACGGAGGCAAAAGCATTGCACAGGCAGCCTGCTCAGATTGAACCAAGAGATATAAGGAGTGGCACCAAGAGATATAAGGAATGCTGACTTCCCTACTAGAACTATGAGGAGTGCAAATACCTGTACCTAGCAATTAAGGTTTTGTCAAGCAGCCTGATAGAGTCAGGTTCTAAACAACCCATTCTAACTTCCAGGTGAATTTTTGGGAAAAAAAAAAATAAACCAAAGAAAAAGGAAAAAACCAGATACATGAATACATCTAAATGAGAGCATGGGCAGCTTTGTTCTTTTTACTATGCACAGCAAATCACTGGGGTTCAAACAGTTCCATAGGTGCAGTGGTGATGAAGGTTACCATCTTCAGTCTAACAAGCAAGCTTTTAGTGCAACTGCACTGCACACGTGCACAAAGCCCAGGACTCGAAGTTAAACACAAGATCTTCAAGAACCAGTTGCTGTGACAAGTATGTGAAAGAGAAGTAATTTCTTATGCAGGAAACTGACTGTTCAAAATGAATGCCAAATTAAATAGAGACCAAGGCGCTGAGGTACAACGAAGGGAAAATACTATAAAATAATTGTACTGTAAAGAAGAGTAACTGTGTGATACTTCTCACAGGGTAAGATAGGGAAAACATTAGAAATAATGAATTATCAGGCAGCAGGCTGAAAATAAAGTGAATGAGAACTTATCAAGCAGAGCATAATTGTAATACGAGACTTTTTGCCTCAGGATGTTCTGGAAGCCAGAAATATCAAATAATTTAAATTGTGGCTGGGTAAGTTTACAGAATATGTAAAATGAAGTTCAATGATTCAAATGCAGTCCTTAAGGTAGAAAAATTGCAAAGGGGTGACTGACAAAGCAACAGGACAAGCCAGGGGAACATTTCTTCAACTGTCCCCCTTAACTGCCTTCTGCTGACCACTACTGCCTCTGCCCTTTGGCCTCAATCCCCATTACACAGTTTTTTATTGACTACCTGAAGGAAGATTCCAGCTAAAACAAAATCTTGTTACAAACCATTGTCTTCAGAGTTCTCATAAACCCCCACAGAGCAATCCACAGCATGCATCAGCACAGGATCAAGGGCTGGGCCTACGGCTGCAAGGCTCCACAGAGTATCTGTGTACCTCAGGTTTGTCTAAAATAAATCCTTTCTTCTGCATAACTAACTTCCTATAGCTCATATTTTCCTTCCTGGGTTTGGTTGTGGCCTTCTTTTGTCTCGCTGGCACCTGCAATCTGCATCTCCCCCTGTTGACATCTGGTAGGAGATCACCACACCTTTTGCTTTCAGAGGAAGTTTCCACTCGAGAACCCTATTGCCACATTCCCAAGGCAAGTCTGACTGTGCAGAACCTTGCTAATCTTGGCAGCTGTGAAGAAAAGGTTTGGAGTCAGCTTGGTGCCCACAGAGAAAATGTATGAAATTTAAGATTCTGTAGGCTCCAACTCTGCCCTAAAGGCCACAGCTCTGCTGGCCACTCTTTGGGACACAACACTCAGACCAGTCAACCACAGCTTTTAAAATGACCACGCTGAGTTAAGCCTACTCTTCAGTGGAAATACTAGCTTTAATGATAACCAAAATGGATGCACCAAAACCAAGCTACCCCACATCACATTTCAGTGCAAACTAAATAAAAAACTTTTAGTGACAAGCAGATTTTTTACTTCAGTCTTCAGTGCACAATGAAAAGCCACTCGCGAGCAGTCAGTTTTATGGTTTCATGTGGGTAAACAGCTGCACTCTTAGCATAACTTTTCCTTCATAATTCAGCATCATTTTCTTCCCTCGTGCCTTGAACAAACATTAAAATTCTGAAAAATTCACCTGTTTGTGAAGAAAGCAACCCATGGGAAACTTCTGTTGTGAGTCTCCACAAACACACTCTGTGCAAAGAGATTGGGGCAGCAGCTGTGCTGTGAAACAAAATACATGAATTAGAAACAGTGAAACACCTGGTCCTGCACTAAAGATTCTATTTTGTGTCAGGTGTGTCACTGCTACAAGAAATTCCTTCCTCCCCTACTCCAGTCAACACAATTGCTGTTACTTAATGCACTGCCACTGGTTTTGTTTAGCCATGTCTCTGTATCATCTCCATCATACCATGAAAGTACCCTCTGTTAGGAAAATTAAAGCCCTTTTATCAAGCTGTTCTCCAGTGATTTATGGTGAGAAATCATCTTTGATTTACGATGCAGCACAAATTATCACTAGATGACATGCATCTCAATGGCAGTGGAGCAAGCAATAGGGACACGTGCATGGTCATGGATGAAGGAAGGTTTCAGCAAGATGCACTGCTACTCTTACCCCCATACTACCTCTGCAAGGAGGTAACACTTAAATATATGCAAGGATTTTGCAGTAGGACACATATCCATGCCATCAGAGAGAAATAAGTTACTTGTTGAGTGCATACAGGTGTGTGTGAAGCATTCATCTTAGTTGGAAGTTCTCTGGAAATCACTGCTATCTCTGGTTAAGTTGAAGCTGAGAGACTTACTAACCAGGTATCTCACAGTATGACTTTTTTCTACAGCTCAGTCCTATTCAAGAATTTCCTACAATATCACAGCACTTAAAAAACTTTAAACCAGCATAAGCCAGAACTTACAATGGTTTGGGAATAAAAAGCGAAGCTGGGAGCAGGGTTGTGGCTCAGTACAATGCATAATTTGATCTCTAGATACCCCACACTCCCAAAATCATTTTCTAAAATTCAGGAAAGAAGTGTCACTCATTACTTGGGAACATTTCACTCTGTAACTCAGTGTTGCCAAAACCTACAGGCCACGCATCTTATGTAAGCCCTCACAGCCAATCTGCTGTCCTGTCACTTCAGAGTGCAGGGAGCACCACACTGCCTTCACACACACCCAACCACGTATTTGGGTTATGATACAACAGACTTGTGAAAAACCTTTCTGGCTCATGAAAACACATTACTCATTTAAGCTAAAGCGAGTAAAAGAACACGTGCAAGTTTTTACTTACATTAAGAAAGCGACCCACATTTCCTTCTTTTGTGGCATCTAGTACATAGATATTTTCATCATTAGCATTCTTCAGAAACGTCCTGTCACCATCTGCATCCACACAAAATATGCCTTGCTTTGACTGTCTGTGAGCTTCCTCGTTGCAGTTAGCTTTCTGTGGTGTGGATGGCTTCACAACGCATTTATCATTCAGCACATCCAATCTGCCACAGGCAACACCCTTCAGAGACAGACTCTTCCTTTTGCATTCTGCACTGCCCATTTCTGCAGGCTCCGTCTGTCCAACTTCCACCAGATCTTCTTCCTTCTGCTTCTGGATGGATCCTGTCAATTGATGTCCAAGTTACCTCCCAGCATTAGTTTAAAGCAGAAGCCAAAGCCCTTGTTTGGCCCCAAGCTCTTGTCCATCCATCTTTCTTTGTTCCCCAAAGTGCACGTGGTTTCCTTACCATTTGCAAAGTCATAACTATCCTTCCAAACACCTTTCACCACTTGTGCTGCAGATCACTACACCTCCTGCTGCAGTGCCTAAAGCATTTGCTTATGTTTCCCATGAGTGACCCACTCCCTCCCTTCCTCTCAAATCCCACTCCAAAACCATTTCTTCCACAAAGCCTTTCTTCCTCATTCTCTACTTTAATTTAATTTCTGAGAGAATCACAAACTGAAATGAAGACAGAAGCAAGATGCATGTGCAAATAACACCAGTTTCACATTGCTTCCCAAGGTTGAATGCTCCCAACCCTGCAATTCCCCACGTATCCTTTTTTGTTGACTGCTACAAACAGTGGGTATGACACAACATTATTTTTGTATATTTTGAAATAGTATTTCCCACAGCTGCCCTGTAGTTGAGAAACAATTTTATGAACTGTTTAATGTGCCCCAAGGTCGACTTTGCAGGCAAAATAGCATCCTGTGTTAGTTAATGCACTGTGATATGCAGGGCAGCAATAACTTTTGTACTGCTGAGCTGCTAGAGCAGCCTAGGCACCCCACGAGCATCATTATTCTATCCTGAGAACAGGCCTGCAACAAACACCAAGATCACTGTTTACATTTTAAGTCTATCCCATGATGATGTGGCACAAGTATGCTAAGAGTGCAGTGTTTGTAACTCTACAAACCTACTTTCTTTTTCTTTGTTTGTTCCACTGGTCAGTTCTGTTTTGCTTGAATGCTGAGGCTGAGAAACATTATCTTCATCTGAGCTGGCACTGTGCACCAGAGTATCAACCTCCTTTAAATAAAACAAAAAATAAGGAAAAGGTTGTGATGTATTTTTGCTGTATGCAACTCTGGGTCAACAAAGGATAGTAAATAGATTCTAAGACTCCAGGGTTTAAGTTTCAAACCTACTGTGACACTGAGTTCCAAAGATCCAAACTTTTACTGCAATGCAACACATACCTTAATTTCAAATGATTCCTTGGAACAACTTGGAAGAAGCTCACCACTCAATATAATATTTATGTAAGTACTTAAGACCCAAAGATTTCACTAGTCTAAATGTTTTTGTGTTAAGTTGAACCAAAGCCCAAATATGCTTTGTATGTGGTTTTAATAAAATGAACAGTAAAGAAACCAGTTATGGAAGCACTGGAGTAGAACCAAACTGCCAAATTTTAGCATGGAAATATAATGTGCAATGAAACCTGTAGAGTAAGTTTACACCAGTCTCCTTCCTTTGCACATATTTTGCACTTGGGGCAGGTAAGATTCTCTTCACTGTGCCACTGCATGAAGTTGCTGCTCCCATGATTATCCTCTCTCCCTGCTGTATCATTTTCTAGGGAGACATCACAAAAATACCATCATTCTGACTCCCTATGTTGCAATTATTTAACAAAGGAGGTGGAAGGGGAAGAATCCTTTACTGAGACTCATAACTGGAGTGTATGCAGAGGGTGAGGCTGGAAAAAGGAAGGCTGTGAGAGTAACTAGTGCCATTCTCAGCAAGAAGTTGAACAGCTGATAATGGAGAAAGGACAGGATACAGCTTCCAGCTCAGCTCACAGTGTGACATAAAATCACAGAATGGTTTGGGTTGGAAGGGACATTGAAGATCATCTGGTTCCAACCCCCTGCTATAGGCAGGAACACCTCCTTCCAGACCAGGTTGCTCACAGCCCCACCCAGCCTGGCCTTGAATGCTTCCAGGGAGGGGGCATCCGCAGCCTCTCTGGGCAACCTGTTCCAGTGTCTCACCACACTCACACTAAAAATTTCTTCCTAATATCTATCTGTATCTACCCTCTTCCAGTTTAAAGCCACTTCCCCACATAATTTCATGATGAAAGATCGTTAGGATTTTTAAAACGTGTTTGAGATTAAGAGGTCAAAATTAACACATACATTCAGCATAGTGAATATTAATCTTTTAAAGCTACTTATCAATATTACCATTTTTAGCTGGTGATTATCCACAACAGCTATTCTAGTTCCAAGCCTTCTCACAGCTGCAGTATTCAAATTCCTTGGATGAATTCTGTACAGGAAGTTCAAAGGGAAACAGCAAAAGACAGACACGTCAATAACTCTGACAACACAGGTTTCTTTAAGAGTCTCTAGCTCGTGAAGATCAGATCATTGCCTGTAGTCCTACTTTCACCTCAAACTACTTTTAAGAATGGGAGAATGAGGTTAAGTTCTCAACAGCACTTGAATAAAACACTGTCTTTTTCTTTTTTTTGACAGAGACCAGCAATTGGTTTTAAATCCTTCTTCACTGCTCCTGAGAACCAAATTTGCTGTTGTTTGATTATTGTATCACCTCAACACAGAGTACCTACACAGAGTTCTGCCTTTTTGCTGCTATTGCTTTCCATAGTTTTGACACCGTAGCTTCAAACAGGAAAGCAAAATAAGTTTAATGGGGAGAAAGAATAGAGGGTGAGACAGTAAACAGCAGATATAAAAAACGTTCTCACACAGAAGAACCTCAACCTCTTCCTGATGTGAAAGTGTGAAGAAGGATGGGAAGCAGTGTTTGTTATATATCCCTAAAACATCAAAAGTCACACTTATGTTTAGAATGCAGTAGAAAATACCAGCCTAAACCTAATCTGAGCATCTGTATAACATCAAGCAATAAGTAACAGCTCTTTATCAGTAAAAAATTCAACCTAAAACATACGTTTTTCTTTCCATGAAAAAAAAAAACAACAACCATGATGATATTTCTTTGGGGTACTGATAATGGCTAAGAGTTCTATTCTTTAAAGATTTCTTATTTTTTAAGAGTTGGAATAACAAATTCTTTCTCTCTGTTCAATTTTCATATATCTCCCATGTGAAACGTTTTTATTCTCAGAAAGGGAAATGAATGAGATGGAAGGTAGCTGTACAGTAATCACAAATACAAAAATATTCTTCCCTACAATTTATAGGGGAAGAACCTTTTAGAAATAGCATCTAGTGAACAGAATTATAGCATCTATAATTCATAAAATTATTTGTTAGGTTTCCAAGATACCAAAACGTGAGAATATACTGGCAGGTATTTTTTTTTAAAGTTCCTGTTTGTGATGTCATTGTGCTTCTCAAAGATCTACAACAGCCTTTCCCCACAAAACAAGTATTTGCAATTACTTACAGGTATTACAAGGAAAGTGTAAGCAAAGCAAGGCAGAAAATTGAAGAAAACAAGCTCCTGGTGTTCTTCTGAAAGAGACTACAGTATGCTACTGATGAAGCCACATTATTATTTTGCAGTAGTTTTATTTCAGGAATCCTGATAGGCTATGAGACCTAATGAAGATAACAATGTCTGTGTATTGCAACAACACCTGTAAAAGCAAGGCACTGTCAGACTCCTACCTGGCAAGGTTAAAAGTCCTAGCAGAGCACATTAAGGGACAAAGAAGAAAAGGTTTAGAGATGGAAGCAAAGAATAGTACAGTTAGTGGCTAATTTATTATCAGATCCTCTAGTGTCATTAAGTATGTTTTTAATTGCTTCTTTCTTTCCAAGTTAGCACAATGATTCATGCCCTGAAGAGGTCAAGACACTCAGGAGGCAAGTGGGATTTCTAACAAATGCCAAGAGATGCATGTCATGAGGAAAATCAGTACACAGGAATAACTAAAACCCACTAAAACCAACAACCAGGATTTAAAAGGTTGAAAAAGTAAAAGAAACACCTCTCAGCAAACAACACTCAATTCTAGTACATGTTTTATAGAAGACATTCTAGAATAACAGAATATTCTGCTTTACGTTCAGTAAACTTACAGAGCTGATTCACTTTCATTATCACCAGGTGGCTCCTGCTGCTCAAGAATATCCTCTTTGCCAGTGTGCACGAGTTCAATCTCGGAGTCTGAACAGCTAGAGTCCAGTTTTCTTTTTTTGGAAAGAAAGCTTTGCCCTCTGTCATTCACAGCACTCTCCTCTTTCGAGTCTTGATCAGCACCTCCCAACTCTTGAACTTCAGCTCTGCTCATTAACCTGCCTGGAAGAAAAAAATATAATTAATTGTTACTTTATTAAGCTGGGTCATACACAGCATCCTAGCTCAAATTTGTATTAAAGGCAAGAGAATTATTTGGGAAAACAATACTTTGCACCTATACTGAAGGAAAACTACCCTTTGCACAGGATGCAGAGACTTGTGAGGGAAAATGTAGGTGAGACAGGCTTTGCTCCAGATAGCACCATCACACTGCAGAATCCTTCAAGGGTTTTCCATCTGTCTGATCATCTGCAAGTTCAGGTGGTACAGGCTCACTTCTTTCCCAACTTCAAGTTTCCCTGCTTGCTTCTCAAAGAAATTCCATGGCATAGGACAGAGGGGGGGTAAAAGTTATGCTACAAGTCTTCCACAGGTCATCTTCTGTTACCTGAGTAAGTACAAACAAACGTCCCCTTGTCGATATCATCCAGGCAGCGGACGCCCCAACCCTTCTTCTCTGTGTTGAACACCTGCAACCGAACTTGAATGCCATGCTGCACAACTCTGTTCTGACACATCATCTTGTCACATCTGCACGACACGCTACACTCATAAATTCTGTCAAGATGAAGCAAAATAAAACACGGGAAAGTCAAGTTGCTGGTATGAACTTCACTCCCGAGTACAAACAAGGCTGAAAAGACAAAGAGCCTGGCTAAAACTGATTGCACAGCACTGCTCCAAAACTCATGACATTCTTGACTGTTGACTCAACAATTTCAAGAGTTTATCAGCCAGATTTTGATATAAGATGACAAAAAATAAAAGCTACCTTTTTATTTTACAGAAGAAAGTCAGACATGCAGAAATCTTAAAGAGGCAGCTGATTCTATTGGAAGAGACTTTGTAAAGACACCCTGTCTGCCAAGACCTCACTGCAGCTATCAGGAGTTCAGGATTTAACCAAATGACACTAAAAGAATTCAACCTGTGCTTTTTTACATTTGTTTGTGTGTTCTTAGACTGACACTGGCTGTGATGGGCTTGCAATAGATCTTGCAATAGCTCTCCCTTCCTTGTGGCAGGTTTCCTTACCATTGATAGCAAGAATGAGCAAGTACAAGGGCCAGGAGTCCCTGAGCTTCTAAACCAGGTAATACTGGTTACTGGTTAAACCAGGTTACTCTTCTTGGGCCTCAAATTAAGATGTGAAAACTGTAGTATCTGCAGCACAAAAGTGTTTTTTCATCTCTCTTATTCAAGTCACATTAATTATTTCTGTAAAAATCATTCTTCTCAATTAGTAAAACTGACAAAAAAAATCAAGGTTTCAGTAATTCAAAGACAATACAGTTGTAAAGAGTACACAAAACAGCTCTGTCTTTATTACCCACTAGGAACAGGCCCTTCCAGTCTTTTGTAACTGTATCCACGAGACGTTTTGGTATTAGGAGACAGAGAAACTTTACTACGGCAGCCTCTTGCAGTTAGCTGCAGACATGCACACTTGGACCTAGAAAATAAAAGTAAAGCCTCGTATAAAAATCAGAATGTATTTGGAGCAGAGTAAATCAAGCTTACATCTAGATAATTTTAAATGTACTTGACTATATACGAACACAAATGCACTATTCGATCATTTTTTCCATCTCTGCTCCAAAAAGTCATTTCAGGTGCCCCATCCTCCTCTTTGTCTCTCGCCTGCTTATCCGTGCTTACAAAAATCATGTCCCCCCTGTTCTCCATTCTGCCAGCCTCTGCAAAGGCACACACAAAAAGTTGACGTGTGACAGCAATCACTGCCAACAGGACACTGTCAAATGGATTGGAGGAAGGGAAGAAAATCACCTGCTTCTGGCACAGACTGTTAGCCTCTACTTCATCACCTTCCTCTCACTCCAGGCCCAAAGAATTGAATTATTCCACACTACCAACTGGAGAACTCCAGCAGTAATGCTGATCCTCACCATCTGAAGCCACGACTGCTCCAAAGACTCGCTGCAATTAGCCAAATCTCAACCCCTGAAACTACACATCGAAAGCATCTCAGGTCTTGGTGAGGTTCAACACACAGAAGGAGCATGCTATGTGCTCGCTGTTCTCTGCTGCCCAGCTAAAACTAAGTAATTTGAGTTACTGAATCTTATTCTATTTCAAGCTAGTGAGTACTACTGGTGATAGGTGGATGGTTGGACTGGATGATCTTGAAGGTCTTTTCCAACCTCAGTGATTTGGTCATTCTCTATGCAGGGTCATAGGCAGTTACACTGCACAGCAATACGAGCGTGTCCTTTAGCTATCAATTATACAAAATACATTCAATCCAAGATTAGTACCTGCAGGCAAAGACCAAGTAAAAGACAAATACCCCTCAGGTGAGCAGAAAACTGAACTCACATATATTAACTGTGGCAGTTTCTCAGATTTAAACAAAGTCCGGAGTTAGCAGGGTTTAGAAGTCAACTACAATGAGCAACACCATTTGAAACAGTCCGGAATGTAAATTTCTTGTGTGACCTCAGTGTTTCACAGCATTTCTTGAGGAAAGGATGGAATGTAGAGACTGTAAAAGGAGATTTCTTCCTCTGCTCTACTTAATTTATCACAGAATCTGTGGCCACAGAATGGCCAGGGTTGGAAGGGACCTCAAGGATCATGAATCTCCAACCCCCCTGCCACATGCAGGGCCACCAACCTCCACGTTTAATGCTCAGGGACCAACTTGGCCTTGAACACCTCCAAGGATGGGACATCCACAACCTCTCTGGACAGCCTGTTCCAGTACCTCACCACTCTCTGGGTAAAGAATTTCCCCCTGATGCCCGACCTAAATCTCGCCTCCCTCAACTTGAAACCATTTCCCCTTGTCCTACACATATCAACCCTCTCAAAGAGTTGATTCCCCTCCCCTCTGTAGGCTCCCTTTAGGTACTGAAAGGCTGCAATGAGGTCACCCCACAGCCTTCTTTTCTCCAGGATCTATGACCCAAACTACCTGACCTCTCTAGGCTGTCAAATCCCAGCCCTGAGGGTTATCATCCTGCAGAAGGAACTGCAGCAGAAGTTATCACACAGGAACCTTCCCTGCCTCCCAGAAAAATAAGCCGCCATCTGCTAGCACAACTCTCTCCCTTTCCCACTCCCTTCCTAAAACCACGAGATCTGCTTTCCTCCTCCACTTAAAGGAGAAGCACTGCATGTCTGAGAATAAACATAAAGGAACATCGTAATCCACATCTTGATTGCTTCCTTCCCTGTACCAGAGGCTGAGTAGGTGGAGCACCCACCTTCTGGAGAAGACAAACACAGTGGTTTCAGTCAACACCGTGGCACAAGACAGCTACTGCAGACATCCACGTAGAGTTGTTCCTTCATCATTTGGCACTGCTTGGTATTGTGCACCTTCACACCTCCAACACCACCCTAATACTGACACATTAAGCACCCTTGGTCTGGGATTAGATTCTTCAACTTACCTATCAATGCAGCCATCCGTGCAGTCACATGAATCAAGAAACATGCTGGATAAATTGTTGAGATAATATCCACGAGGCCACGATGCCCTCCGGTATTTGAAATAAGGTAACCTGGCACGATCAATGTCATTAGAGAAGGAAATAGGCACAGATTCAGCTCCATTGCTAATATCAAGATCAAACACGAGGGGTTCTGGATTTACAATGTTCCTGCCCAACAGGACGTATGTGTTGAAAGAGAAGTGATCAATAAATAAGAAATCACATTTTGTCTCAAACAAATAATTCTGAACATCTTGAAAACTTCTCAGACTCCTGCCACAGGGAGCTTTGTAATGCACATCCAGTGACTTTGAAAGGCAGTCTGCTTTCGCATGGCGTCTCTGAAAGTGAAACAGTATTGGTATCTTCAGAGGATTTTCACCCTTGTAGGAGCTCACTGCTCTGTTGGAGAGACACGCACTGGAGCACTTGTGGATCCGATACCGGCGATTCAAAGGTGCACGTTGAATTTCACTCGATGTTTCCTCACTCCCTGAGTCTGATTTTTCAATCTTCTCCTTTTTGCTGATAGGAATGAATGAGAGAGAATGAAAATGAGAGAATGAAAAAAAAAAGTCAGAAAAGAACAGCATCTCAGATGATCAGTAAGCAGCCAGCCAGTCTTCTAGTGGTTCAGCATTATTAGCGTAGGAAAGCTTGAAGGCAGCCAAGGGTTTTACTGAATGCCTGCCTGCATTACCTAACATCTCTGACACCATATGCAGACATGCACAGTGCCATTCCAAACAAGTGACAGCAACAAAAAAAGAACCATACTTTCATCTTCCAAATCAGCTCCCAAGGCTAATTATGAAAATGAAGTCGTGTCCTTAATAACAATCTTCACAGTCTGTGAAAGCTTGAGAACTGAACTTAAAACTTTCAAGTGCCAGCACTGCTAATCCTGCTAATAATCATGGATCTTCATTCAGAACAAAACAGATGTTCTATCCTGCAAGGCTTTCATGTGGTATATTAGATAAGTCTGCTTAAAACCTCAGCTTTTCCATATGGGTCAATTTAAAAATATATATATTTACTTTGAAAATTGTCAGGACTCAAAGTTGATTTTAAAATCAATGAATATATAAATAATACAGAGAGATTAAGAACTCTCTAATTCAGTAAAGATAGGTACAGTAATGAGCTTTGCCATTCTGGAAGTATTAAATAAATACACTGACCTGTGCGAACCCTCCACAGAATTTCCACTGTTGTCATCTCTAACAGGATGCTGTGATTTAGGTTTGGGTTCCTTTGTATCCCCTTCATCAAGAACATCATTTACTGAAAAAATTGGGATATAAGCAAAACCTCAACGGTCCACATTTCAATGATCTATAATTGAATTTAGTTACTAAAGAGATAGCTGCCAAAACACTATAAAGGTAATGCATTGCTATGAACTACAGTTAACAAAGCATGCTAACAACCACCCTCCTAGAAATAAATGTTTTTGCACTTATACAGAGTGAAGTGTTTGCATTAAGGTTCATAGGTGAGAAGCTCACACACACTCTTCTCTCTCTGCTACTTCTCCCCATCTTCCCTCCCCCTACCATTCTTTCTCCCCAGAGGAGAAAAATATAAGTGTACATGCACAAATCTGAGACAGAAACACACTGCCAACATTTATGCTTTTTTACCAGCCATCACATGATTTGAGTATTAAAGGCTTCCATGAGGCTTTCAAACTGCACAGAGGTAAGATACTGGAAACATATACAGGTTTGTCTTCATTATTTGAGGTAAAGTGCTGGCAGGGTACTGCCATGAGGGGAATACTGTACAAGCCAACTTTGGTTTTTAGCTCAGGCTTATCAGTGTTTCTTACTGCAATCTCTAACTTCACTTGGTCCAAGCCACACACACACAAACAACAGAAGTACAAACCCAGATGAATGTCTGCAGTTCAGTAACTGCAGAGGAAATAATCATTTTTTTTCCTTGCACTGCTAACAAGCTCCTGACATCTACTTTATTGATTTCAACATCAGGAAACAAACTTCTGGTGAGACTAGTTAAAGCTACATAGCAAATAAATGCAATTAAGATGCACTTACCATTTGTCAACGTTAAAAGATCACCCAGATCAGCTTCGTTTACCAGTGTCCAAGCCTGCCAGCATTCTATATAAAAACAAAACAGAAACAGAAACAGATCTGAAGTGCAATATAGTAATAGTGACAATGATAGTCATCACTGCTAGAAGGAAAAAGAAAGCTAAACTCTAGACATGTTTCCTCACTGTGCTGATACAGAGCACTGTAACACAGACACTTTTTAACTTTTTGTAACACAGACACTAATTAACTTTTTGCTACAGTCCTGAACAGACACACCTAGGAGAAGCAACACAGTCACAGCTCACATCAGTAACTGAAGGAGCATTGCACAACCACTCGCTTCCAGAAAGCTGCTGGAATGCTTTTAAACACAAGTCCAGTAGTTTTCAGAGGCAGCAATTTGTGTAAGCACGAATCAATGCAAGATTCTCTCTTTGCTTCTGTCACCAGACTGACCATCTTCTGGCTAAGGACAGGATCTTGTCAGAGCAAATTAATGCTACCCCTGAATTGCTGGATGTGGTCTTCAGATAGTAAGATGACAAAGAGGTGACCAGTTCTGTCTCAACCCTATGCAATAAATATCACAAGTTGGCAGACAAACGTCAGTAAAATTCACATTAGTATTTTAGTTTGGAACAAAACAAAGGAAAATAAAAATTTAAGTACGGCACAGATTCATACCAATACCTGGAGATTCAAATTCAACCTTTAGCTCTGCAATTCTGTAACATTTTGTCATAAAACCAAGATTATGGAGCTCAAGTTACCCCCCCAAAAATCCAGTACCAATTTAAAACAAGCATTGTAATACAGAGTGTGAAAGCATCTTAAACCATTACACATTTTCTTGCACAGAAGCAGCAAGATGTGAAGATTAGATTTACAGGGATGATTTAACAATAAGAAATATTTTTATAAATTAAAACATTAGTAAAATTAAAAACCAAACCTGTGTACTGCTCTAGCTTTATCTTCTGATTTTGATGTAGATAAAGAACATTTAGTTCCATGAAAATCAGGGACATTCTTACAACAAACTGCTGTTAAATTGTTCTGCTACTATTACAACGGCTTTTCTTCAAATCAGACTGCAGATCATTCACAGTCCTGCTGAATGACTACAAGGATTTCAAACCTTGATTTGTGGCAGTTCCATTCTTGATCTTCTCCTTTAGCAGCAGCAGTACTTCTTGCACCTGCTCAAATATGAGATCCACTCTTCTACTTTCCAGTTGTGTCCAAAATGCCTTCAAATCACCTGAAATACAAGTTGTCATTTACAACTCTGCACAGCTTCCAAGAAATCTAAAAACATGAGTAGCTCTTATTGGACTTTTCAAAGGCCCCCACTCACATTGGTGGGAAGCAGGGGTCTAGTACTTCTGAAAGATCAGGTAAGACGTGTTTCTCTTATTGTAGGCTTAAACTTTCATAAGCTTATTTTCTAACCCTGAGCATGAAAGTGAAACAATGTAATGATGAACTGACTTCTGATGGCCCATGAAGCTTCTCTGACATTGAGCTGCAGGTCCAGAGGGAGCCACAAAGATGATCAGGGCTGGAGCACCTCCTTTATGAGGATAGGCTGAGGGAGTTGGAGAAGGCTCTGGGGGGACCTTCTAGCAGCCTTCCAGTACCTGAAGGGGGCCCACAGGAGAGCTGGGGAGGGACTTTTTATAAGGGCATGCCATGACAGGACATGTGGAAATGGCTTTAAACCTAAACTGGGTGGATTCAGACTAAATATTACAAAGAAGTTCATTACTGTGAGCGTGGTGAGACAGTGGAACAGGTTGCCCAGAGAGGCTGTGGATGCCCCTTCCCAGGAAGCATTCAAGGCTGGGCTGGATGGGGTTTTGAGCAACCTGGTCTAGAGTGGGGTGTCCCTGCCTACAGCAGGAGGTTGGAACTAAATGGTCTTAAAGGTCTCTTCCAACCCAAGCCATTCTATGATTCTTCAAATAATTTTTCAAGTACATCAACAGAGGGTGTTCTGGAAGCCTCTCTCTAAATATTCATTAAGTTTCACTATAAATTAATCACAAAATCACAGAACTGTAGGGACTGGAAGGGACCTCTAGAGATCACCTAGTCCAATCTCCATGCCAAAGCAGGCTCTCTGGACCAGGTTGCACAGGTAGGCACCTAATCATCACTGAAACTCAGAAATGACAAAGGAGAATGTTTTCAATGGAAAGAACTGAACATATTACCACAGAAAAGGCATTTGTGAGTAGCTCACAGCCAAAATGTTCCTTAGCTACCATCCTGCCCCATCAGTATTTTGGTAAACATTCTAGAGATAAAACATTGAACACACTTTCAGATAAAAGCAGTTTGATTAATTTTGCCCACCAAGTATATTAATTGCAGCAGCTAATATGCCTCTTACATTACAGAATGGCCTGGGTTGAAAGGGACTACAATGATCATCTAGTTTCAACCTCCTGCTACATGCAGGGTTGCCAACCAGGCTGCCCAGAGCCACATCCAGCCTGGCCCTGAATGCCTCCTTTCTCCATTACAAATATTTAAAAGAGCATTTTGTTTGAAGATTTTTAATTACTTCTTTTTTTTTTTTTAAACCACTGATCAGATCATGGTCTATCGCATCTCCTCTCTTCCATGAATACATGTTTGAGGTACTAAGCCTGTTAATTAAAACAATTAAAACACTACCAGCGCATCTTTGGCAAGGACTTCGAAAAGAAAAGAAAAAGCTCAGTGTGTCACCAGACCACGCTAGAAAAGGGAACACGTCCTCTGTTTTGGTTAACAATTCCCATCTTCAATTGTGAAGCAGTAAATCTTTTTCCCCCGCTCCACTTCAAGAGCTACAGCCCACCATCACCTCACAGTGTTTACAATCTACTTTCAGACAGCAAGTTATGGCTGCCAGATGTGCCACAATGACACCTTCCCAGCTGTCACAAGATGCAGCACTACTGCAAGGCCTGCAAAAAGGTGTTGTTTTTATTTTCCTTAGCAAAGAATGACTTTATTGCTCAGTACAACAGAAGCCAAGTAACGTTATGTCAGTACAGAGCTTACAGTTACTTCTGAAAGGGTCATGGAAATAACAATCCTTTGTCACTACACCACAAGCTGTTTCTATAATCAGCAGTTAAAAACTTACTATTAAAACTAAACAGGCAACATGGAAAGTACTTTTTGTAATATTACTGATCTGGCACTAACTCAACAACATTCAACAAGCTTTTGTATTCACAGCAATAGCAAGTATATACATATATCAAAGTCTCTTGGAACAGCACACTGTCAATGAGACAACTGGTGCTCTGGGCCATTCCTACCCTCTTGCTGTGCCTAACAGTATCACAGATTTAAAATACTGGGAAACAAGCATATGTAACATCCCTCTTTAAAAAAATACATATTCAGAAATATCATTAAAAAATTCCACTGTGGCAGATCAAAACTGTTGCCATTATTTGTTACCTGCTTTCAGAAGCTTTGATTTAATTTCAATATATGGTTAACAGTGGTGGAAGGTCCACTTCAGATGATGGGTGACAGAACAGTCTTTCATTTCTGGGTCAATTCTAACCTTGCATAGGCCAAAAGCAAACAGACCACATCACTACTGCCTGTCCTGCTCATATCTCTCAACTTAAAAGGCTTTCTCCCACTTCTCATGCTTGAGTGCCCTGAAACTCCCGCAGCTAGAGCTGTGAAATTCACAGCATAATTTTAATTTCAAAGAAGCAGGTGTTCACATCATTCATCTCCTCTTCAATGTTAAAGCTGCTCTTGTTGATCTCAGCCAGGAGGACGTGGAATGAACAGACACAGAATGTGTTCAGTTTCTCAGCCTTCAAAACAGTCTCAACCAGCTGATGACTCAGAGCATGGACCAGCAGCTGGTGGCAGTACTTCTAAAGCTGGCTGAGGCTATTGCTTCTGGGAGATTTTCTTTTCCCTCTATCTTTGTGGTCATGTATCTTTCAGTACTGCGCAAGAGAATGAAGTCAGAGCAAGAAAAAAAGCAGACTAAGCCAGAGTTCCCCAGAAAAACACTTGGGCATTTCCTATGAAAAACCCATAGTGCTGACACATACTCTATACACGATGTAAGATGGAACTGCTGCCATCCAGTCACCATTTTCATATTCCAAGCAGTGTCAGAGAAACACCACATTCCCCATTCCCTCCATAAGTCTGAATTACACTACCTTCAGCTGTCCCTTTTCTGGAAGTGGGACGGTTCTTCTCTTCAGGACAGCCACGCAGCACTGCAAGGGGTGCAGAATGGACAAGTATGAGTTCAGATGAGAAATAAAAACGCTTGTCACCAAAAGGTGCGTTGGCAGTTATCAGCAGAGGTATCAGTGAGAACACTGCAAGAGAAAGCGCTGTGGTGAAACGCTCCTCCTGTTTCAAAGCTACACAGAAACACAAGACAGAGTAGAAGAACGCTGAAGTGAAAGAAATTGGGAAGGCTTTTTTTTTTTTTTTCAAGCACACATAGATTACCATCACTACAACATGACGCTGCTGTGAGGTGAGCCACACTTTCTGTTGTGCTCACGTGAGCAATCCCTGCCTCCTGTTAGCCCTTTTTTAACTAATGCAGCCGTACTGCAATTAAGCTACACAAAAGGGAAAAGCCCAAAGGTTGTGGTTTTTTTAGGTCAGAAATGTACTGGGTCTGTTTCCCAGCAGACTCGATGGAGCACTAAAGGAAAGCATTTCTCAGCTGCGCGGCAGATTTCTGGCCACGACCACCAACGACACAGCATCAAACAATTACAGCGACATTCCCACGTGCTCCTCCTCGACTCTGGCACGGAAATTTCATTCGTTCGAGCGAAAAAGGAGAAAAAAGCGAAGCTCCTCACGAGATCTCACAAGTTCTGCGGCAAAGTTTCTCACAGGATCTGCTTAGCGACCGCTCAAAACACGCATTCATACCGCTGAGGCTTACTTCGGTTCCCCTCCATGTCGCGGATCCCTGCTTAGGCTGGGGAGCGGCATGCAGGTGTCCCCGTCCGGCCCCGGCTGGATGAGGGCATCCAGGCCAGGCCACGAGCGCCCCGCCAACGCCCGCACCCGCGCGGGGCCGACATGGGGCGAAGACCACGCGTGGGGGCGAGCCCGCGTTACTTCACTCAACGGTACCCCAGACAGCCGCTGCCCCGTCACCACCCGCCGGGGGGCGCCAGGCACCCGCTGTGCGCATGCGCCGAGCTGTCTTCGTTGCCTTGCAGTTCACCTTCTGCGCACGCGTAAGGAGGGGCCGGGCCGCCCGAGCGAATCGCTGCGCGGAGGAGGCGGGCCGCTCACGGCAGATGGCGCGGGTGTCTTTGTTGCTATTGGTTGCGGCTGGGGTCGCGGTGCGCGCGGCGCTGGCCAATGGGAACGCGCGGGAGCGGGAGGAGGGGTCCGGGTGGCAGAGCAGAGAGGAAAGCGGTGCGTCCGCCATCTTGGGTGGGCGGGGCGAGTTGGGGGCCGGGCGCGTTGGGGCGTCACTGTTCCCTGCGGTCCCGCCATCTTGGCCATGGGGTGAGGGGAGGAGGGCTGTTTCAAAGCCTTGTGTTGACCTAGTCTGGTCTGAGGTGCTCGGGGATGATGTAGTGCCTCTCGTGGTGTGGATTGTGAGAGGTTTCTTCTGTAGTTGGGCACCTGTGGGGAAGTGGCAAAAACAAAAACAAGCTTTAAGGGGATGTTTAACCTTTTGCTTCCAGCTAAGGTAATAAATTAAAAGACTCAATAAGTGTCCAAGTTACTTAACACCACTGCTGGTTGCTGTCATTTGCTCTTGCTGCCGTTTGCTCTTGCCGCTGTGTCCTGTGAAACAACTGCTGTTATTTTGATTTGGAGCATATGAGTACAGGCATTTACATTGCCCTCAAAGTTTTCAGCAAAAATACTAAATGAGCTTTGGCGTTGTGGCAGTACAAGATGATTCCTCAGGCTAAAATCAACCTACTGGAATGAAAGGCCTGAGAGATTGGTTTAAGTGCTGTGCACGGGGAAGGGAACAGGCTGTGGTTTCAGCAGTGGCTTTGTGTTCGCATTTTAAAAAGAGAGATTCCTTTCCTGTAGCAGTTTGTTTTGAGTACAGAGTTTCCTTCCTTCTGAAATATTAGAACTGATGATTGCAGACTAAGTAATTTTATTTTACTGAATAATTTATATACACACGCATGCAAGTGACTGCTGAATGTTACAAAGTGCCTGTGGTGCCGCAGGCTGTATGAGGAATATATCAAATGCAAAGAATATGGAGCCAAACGTTATAATGATTGCGTTAACAACAAGTTATTTTAAAAGGAGTTTTCCTTATAAAGTTGTACTTCCTGTAATAAGATTCTCCTAAACAGCCTCTGATGTTTGCATGCATGTCTTGAAACTGTGATAAGCATTAATAAGCAATGTGGAGACAGTACAGCCACCCATATAGCCATCCATTGTGGATGCCCCATCTCTGGAGGCACTCAACGCCAGGCTGGATGTGGCTCTGGGCAGCCTGGTCTGGTGGTTGGCGACCCTGCACATAGCAGAGGGTTTGAAAAGAGATGATCATTGTAGTCCTTTTCAACCCAGGCCATTCTATGATGATCTTATAAGCAATTAATGTTATTAAATATTCATATTTCTGCTTGGGCACCATGACTGTGTATGACTGCTTGCCTGGTGTGCTTAGGAAGCTAACAATTTTTATGATTATATAGTTTCCATCTGCTTCACAGTCATCAGCGGCAAATGAGCTCAAGTTTGGGATTTTTTTTTCCCCACCTATAATGCACTGAAATACAACTACTAGAAATCTGACCATAATTTTACTTGAAACCAATAAAAATAGTGTAACTAAATGGAACCATATAACGCAATGCCAAGAAAGGTGTTCTCTTTGCTCTGAGCAAGCTGCTGGAGGTTATTCAGTCTGTTGTGACGAGGTCTTTTGCCTGATACCTGTCAGTTATATGTGAAGATATAATGCTAGTGTTATCTGTGTTACTCACTATAACATAGTAACGTCACTCAGAATCTTTTAATTAGGAACTAGGAATGATAGAAATCAGAAGCATGACTGCATACTTGTTGAACAAATGAGAAATAGGGATATTATATGCATATTATTTGACAAAAAAAGGGAAATTTGTCTTTCTTGAAGACTAACATGTTGCTTGTGTAAAATAACTGAATTTCCTTGTTTTCTCTTTTATCTAGAGCTGGAAGATATGCTTTCTACAACCAGGAAGCAATTTCTACTGTTGAGCAGGTGAGCTCATTTCTTCCCAAACTCACAAGCAGTGCTGAAGAGACATCCCAGTGATGTGCCCACAGCACTCCCCTAGCAGCAATGCAAACTTGAGACTCGCCCACCAGCTTCTGCAGCCTAGACCAGGACTGACGAACTGCATCTAAAGGTGAGGGCAGCCCATTCCGCATGCTTATACGTCTGTTAACTTTTTGTTTGTCATCTTTGTTAAGATGACAGTGAAAGGATTAACTAAGTTAGTGGTATGATTTATTGAGTTGGTGAATTATGCTTTTGTATTATATGGTTCTACTAATACTAGTAGCAAATCAAGATGAACAGTTGCTTAGGTAGGCAGACCATAAATGGTTTTTTGAGTGGGAAGCTGACCCCAAAGCAACCATTTCTTCAACTCTCCAGGAATGGTTTTAACATCTTGAGTACAATGGGATTTGGGTATTGTATGGGAACTGCTGAGTCACGGCCTGAACCTCTGATGGATCACCCGAGGCGAGCCATGAGTCAGCCAGAGGAGCACAGCTGAAGGCAATTCACCTGTGCTGCCGGAAGGGGTGGAGCCTGGCTCCATCCCTCCTAGACCTATTTAAGAGCTGGCTACCAAAGGGGAAGGATCTCTTCTGGAGATCACCTCTCTTGGTGTTTTGTGGTGAGCTCAGCCGAAGGGTAAGCTCTTCCACTTATTCTCTTTTTGTGATCGTTGTCTATTTTGCCTTACTCTCTTGATTATATTGTGATTATAACATCTTAATATCTATTGATTATACAATTATATTGTGATTTTAACATCTTGATATCTATTGATTATACAACTATATTGTGATTATAACATCTTGATATCTATTGATTATACAGGTATATCTTCATTTGGCCAGATAAGCTTGGGTGAGGTACAGAGGCACCAGTCTCTCTTTAGAAAATAGTGAAGCAGTGAAAGCCACAGACATTCAGAAAATGTTTCATGATTCTCTTGTAGCTTTTTGTTCTTTTCTGACTGGATTATCTTTTTGTTTTCTTGACATTTTTCTTCTTAAAGTGCTTTCATCTCAGTTTGATACTTCTACCTGCTCCTTCTCTGTCACATCCTACTTTTATCCTTTGTGATTTAACTTACTCCTTTACAGGTAAGTGTAGGTAACCATACTTCATTCTTTCAAAAGGCAACTTTAAGATAATGTTCTCTTTCATTACACTGATTAGTTTAAGTCTGGTTTATACGTACTCTGTTATTTTTCATTCATCTAATATATATTGACAAAGATAAATCAGAGAGCAGATGATAGTTTTGTAAAGATCATTGCTTTTTTACACAGCATGCTGAGTGGGTTATCCTTCAGCTTATCCTAGAAGTCTGACTGCTATTTATAAAGATGCATACTGGTGTTCTCCGTAGGTATATTGCTTACTAAATACTGCATGTTATTTACAGGCCCTCCATGCTATGTTTTGTAGTTGTGTTACTGTTGTAGATATATTAGTTTTTAGATAGTATTAAGTTATTTTGGATATTAGTTTTTCTGGCTATTTAATCAAGGAAAAGAATATTCAGTTCTTATGGAAGACACTGGTCCTGTTAAATGATTTTGTTCTACCTGTGTTCTAAGAATGTTAACATTCCTGGCAATTAAAAGTGAAGGAAAAAAAAAAAAATCTACTTAGAAATTCCAGTTCCCAACACCATAAACTGTTAATCACCCTAAGGGAATCTTTAAACATGCGCAGAGACTTGCTATGAAAAGGAAAGAAAAAATTTGTGTCACCATTGAAACAATAGACTTCTTTCATGTGGAGGACCTAGATATCTGTTAATTACCAACTAGGTTGAGGGTTTTGGAGTCTGGCCCAATATGCTGGAAGTCTTAACCGTCTACTGGCTGGCATATCTTTCAAGGTCTGCATTCGGAGACTGGTAATGTAATGTATTTCATCTTTATGGACTGTTTATGTAGTAGAACTGTTTCCATTTTTAGCTGTGTTTCTGTCTTGGAGCCTCAGCATTATCTGCGGTCATAGATTCCAGATAGTTGTGTGAACATAGTAATAAAGGACTGATTCAAATGTTAGATAACGCTGGGTGAAGTCAAGGGACATGAGTTGTCTTTCCTGTGCCACAACCCACTTACATTACATTACACTGAGACATCGGGCCTAAAACTGTGTTCTCTGATTTTGGGTGACTGGGATGAATTTACAGTCCTGAAAGCCTGTGGTTAAATTTAGAGATATACTGAACTTGCAGTGTTCCCACTACTAAGAGATGTATTACATGGTGTACCAGAGCTTCTTTTTTGTTGTTTTTGCCTTCTGTTTTTTTAATCAAAGTGTAGAGTAAGTTGTAAGCTTTCATTGTGATGCCTGATGATTGATAGGTGAGTACAAACAAAGCAGTGAGCACCTCATTTAGAGCTGCACTTGATATAACCTTGCACTTGATATAACCTTGCACTTGATATAACCTTGCACTTGATATAACTTGATAATAATCATTTTGATATAAAGCCCGTCAAAATGATGCATGTAGCAAAACTGAAGTAATGATTATGTCTAGATGTAGTAAGCACTTTTAAATAAAACTGGAAGGTAACACGTTTTTAAATATGCTAAAAAATTTTTACTACAGCCATAGGAAGCAATGAAAAAGGTTTATAGAGAAGGATCAGGAAAGCCACAATCCTGTGTGCACTTAGATTTGGCACTGTCAAACAATGAAGTGGTTCTGTTCTTGCTGCTTCACTCAGCCTTCCCCTGTTAATTTGTGTGGCTGCTTAATGAAACTGGCTCAGAGAACTGGTTGGGGTTTAAAAGAAATTACTTATTTGTTTCA